GGTTTTGTGGAAATCCAAGTGGTTTAATCCTAAAACAAATAAATACATATATCAGGGGAATGCAGGAGTCCTGAAGTCACATGTAATTTTAAGACCTTTTTTAAGACCCTTTCCATACATTTTAAGACCTCATCGCCACTTGGAGTTTTAACCAGTTACCTTGACGACACACTTTACCNCGTGATATAGGCTAAAGGGGCGGGACATCTCTAAGTGGTTGACCAATCACAACAGAGCCGGCCAGCTAACCAATCAGAGCAGACTGGGCTCTGGTTTCACTGAAACCAGAGCCCAGTCTGCTCTGATTGGTTAGCTGGCCGGCTCTGTTGTGATTGGTCAACCACTTAGAGATGTCCCGCCCCTTTAGCCTATATCACGTACAATGTATTGGAGCGCGAGCCAATAGAAGCACGTGTTACATTGTGATGTCATTATCACTGTGTGAACTTTGGGATGTTAGCCTTTGCAGACCATTGACATGCACAACAACCTATATAACACACTACAGGGAAGCGAAAACCCCCCAAAAACCTTTAATATTGGTGGATTTTCCCAAAAATGAATGAATCAGCAGTTCATTTTTAACAATTTGTTCATAAGTAATGAGTCGCAGCCCTATTTTCAAGCTGTTTTTAACCAACACAATTTACCCACATTAAACATTCCTCAGAAATATCTATACTTTCTCAAAGGAAGCCCTCTTCTGCCTTTTCCTCCATAGTTTTGGCAGCAGTGGAGGATTGTGGGTAGCTCGGTCTAATTCCATCAGGATGACTGATGGACGCTCTCCGGCTGCAGCGCTCCAGCTTTATTGCACTCATTTATACCACTATGGGAGCAGAGGAGTTCATTCACTTGATGTTGGGGGTTTGGAAAGAGCATAATATTGCCTCTTGTATTTTACTGCAACATTTTAATGCTGCTATTATCTGTATTCCTTAAGGGCCTTTCTCTCCTCTACAGTCATCGTGTTCTGGCAGAAGACCCCATTTTCCTAGGAATATTCAACACTTGTGAAAAGATATTGGGGCAGTAATTTACCCACGGGCTCGCCCCTCCCTATTGGTTGTCTGCCAGCCTGTCCTTATTGTCCCCGGAGCAGCCAGGCAGTGCCAATCAACCCCAGAGATGATTGCCCCGGCTTCATTTGGTTAAAAGGGGAAATGTCTCTTTAGCACTCTTAATCGTTTTATGGCCTTCCCACAGACTGACGTGCACAGCGCTCCCACCAGGATCTCAATACGGTGCACAGCCATAAAAGTAATTAGATTGGCTTTGTGCTACAACTGATCCGCACACAATTATTGCACCCACACCGCTAATGAACATTGGAGCAGCGGAAGGAGTTGTGGTAAAGTGTGTGCTGGACCCTGAGGTGGTGCTCTGCTACTGGGAGAGATATGAGTGTGTATAGAAGGTGTGTGTACACTTGTTATACATCTATCTATCCAATAGGACCACTTTTAGACTCTTATTTTGACAACGTTTTGACTTATCCTTATTATAAGGCAGGGGTGTCAAACTCAAGGCCCGGGGGCCAAATAAGGCCCGTGACTTCATTTTATGTGGCCCCACAAAAGCTCTGAAAGAATATAATATGTTTATTATAAATGCCGATTTACAGAAGCACTTTGCCCATAAACTACATTTCCCACAATGCATCTACATTTTAACTCAGAATTTGACTTTTTTTCATCAAAATATTCATTTTTTTATCAGAATTTGACTTTTTTTCTCACAATTTGACTTTTTTTCTCACAATTTTACTCTTTTTCCCAACATTTTAATTATTTCTTCAAAATTTTAATTTTTTTCTTCAAAATATCACCTTTTTTTTTTGTTGGGACTTTTTTTTCCAGAATTTGGCTTTTCTTTTTAAATCATTTTGTGACATTCTCACTGAAGAGACTTGCAATTATTTGCTCTAGACTTCTGCTTTCAGACGTAGTTAATTATGAAGTTATTACCCTATCCGGTAATAATCCAATATTATTTTATATATATTACATATTTATATATGTATTTTTATATAGTGTTATATATAAAACTGGCCCTTTGAGTGCAACCATGATGCTAATGTGGCCCGAGATAAAATTGAGTTTGACACCCCTGGTCAAAGGGCTTTGGTAAGGCAGGTTGATACAATTATAAAAATGTAAGTATGGACGGTGAATATGCTTCAAACAAAGTGTTATCAATCCGTTTAAACAGCGTAAGAACACTTTTCCAATGTCTTTTCAACTTCCCAATTTGTTGGCATTGGATAGCGTCCAACTTTTTTGAAAACAGACATTCTATCAATCCCGGCAGTTTGCAATATCGACGTGTGATGCAGGAAAGTAGGCGAGATTTAAACTACTATCAAAGGTTTTTCGACTACTTTCCATTTCTATCCATATGTCAATCCAACTGCATCACTATGAGTGCCTTTTAAGGAGTAAGTGATTGAAAGTGTATCCAATATCTGAGCAGAGAGCGCTGAGATAAGAGATGGTGTAAAATATAGCATGCAGCCACAGTGAGGCCAATAACAGGCAATAAGTGTGGTGTAAACAATTTAGCTTTTAAACATGGCTGTGCAAACATGGTACAAACTAGATAGTGAAACCCTCGGGGGCAAGGGAATGCTTTTCATAAATCCTCACAATGTAGAAATACGAACATACAAGTGTCTGTGTGTTGTCTGTTTTGATGAATGGCTTGTGGAACATACAGTCAAAACACAATCATTCAAATCAATACAAGGTTGCAGATACTTACAAATGTACATTTCACCGCCTGCAACTGTTGTGCAGGCGGTAAATATTAATCTACCAATCAGGATCAGCGGTTCAATGCCCAACCCCACTGCTATTACCATATACAGTAGAAGTGTCCTTGGGCAAGGTGCTTTACCCAAAATGGCTGTCTATGATATTCCATTGTATGTAATTCACTTAAGATCACATTTTCAGCCAAGTACAAAAATAATAATATATGGTGTTTTCCATGCAGCCTGTACAGGAAGTGTTTTATATTGCTGTGTTGGGGAGGGTTGTCACATTGTTCACAGGTTGTTGTGTCCTTCATTAACATCCACTAATATCCACCTCATCTCATCACTCCCCCTGCTATGAGTCTCCAGCATGAACCCTGTCTGTGTGTGTGTGTGTCTGTCTGTCTCTCTGTCTCACCTTCATACTGACCTGAGGAGACGAGCTCAGGGTGTGTCTGCCCCACTGGCTGCTGGTAAGTGTCTGTGGTTTGGACTGGGAGGGGGGATAGTGGAAGATTTTGTGAGGTATCTGGTGTCGGGGACGGCTGCTACTTTTATTGGGCTACTGTGTGGAAACTCTGACTCCAGTTGTGGTGACTTTCATGCCCTTCAATTTGAAACTAGGGATCATGTGTTCATTTTATAGACGTGTATACTCGGTTAAAAGCTGTGACCCTTTTCAATAGTTCGTACGTACTACTGTAAGTCCAACATTCAAGACATTCATTTGTTAATCAGAAACAAATCTCCACTTCACATTAAGATGAGATAAGATGTACTTTATTGATCCCAATTCGGGAAATGTTTGCATTGCAGTAGCATAAAAACAAGGCATTGCATATAAGAGACATTTAGAGTAGAAAAAAGAAACAATTCTAAAATGTAAACATCTCAAAATAGAAATAAGACAGCAATACAAACAGTTGAAAATATACACGTTGAAATACCAATTTACAGTAAACAAAATATAAACAGTAAGTGCAGGCAGAGATAAGCTTTTCGTTAAAACGATTGTTTATACGGTTTTAATTTCCTGGTTCGACTGAATACATGTCTCCAAAATCTCATATCTGATCTTGATTAAACGCTTCAATGTACGTATTTGATCAAATAACCACAAGATGCTTCAATTGAGGCACAATACAGGATGAAAGTGACCATGACTGGAGCGGTCAAACAATTATTAAGAGCTATTTTAGGGAAAATTGTTGAATTTACTGTTAAATCTTGTTTTTATCAAAGTAAATTTGTCTTGAGGTTTTTTAATGTAACGCAGCTCTTTCTTAAATGTGGGTCTATGATTATGTGAAGTGATTCTGTTATTAGAGGTTATTTATATTCTGAAGTGCAGCTTATAGCTAATGTCTGAAAAATGTGGAGGACAAATGACATCAAATAGATTGACTCACATAAAACCACTGATTTCACAAGTTGGCTCCTTAACATCTGACCTTTGTGAATCTATCTGGCATCGGCACTGCAGGCGGGTCATCATTGTGAGTGTTTCATTTAACTCTGAAAAGTCATCAGTATTTCTTTAACCCTGGGAGTGTAAAACTTCCACTTGTCCCAGAGCCATTTCAGCTTTACCAGAGAACAGTCGTCTTCACCCAAATGACCAAAGAACTAATGTTTATACTTGGATGTATTTATATTAAACCAAGTGTTATGGGACTATCTACAAGATGGCGAAATAGTTCTATAACTTCAGATGGTGATGTTGTTCTTAAAGCCACAATAAGACCGTGGTTAAAGGGTCAGTTCAGCCAAATGACAAAGAAAACAGATTTGTATTCTTGCATCTAGTCACAAGAGATGTCTTTCCCGCAGACTTTACTGTAAACAGTTTCTTCTGGGACTGGGACTACTTCTTAGGAAGAAAGTAGTTCCAGTGAAAACCGTTCAAAGTTAGGTTTTTGGATTATGCTTCCAAGCCTTTTAAGAATTACCTATTTGTAACGACGTTGAGATATTGCACTATAGATTTCAGTATCCTTATGATACATCAAATGGGAAAGTAGAGAATGAATGTGCTGCATTAAGAATAACATCACATTTGTTCACCCAGTGCAAATTTCCTTTGATTGTATTGCACATAATTTCCATTAAGTGTGTGGAATAAGGAATTAGATGATACTATGACGATCAGGACGTGACATCAGAGTTAACGGAGCTGCTTTCTTTCTGTTTTCAGACGAACGCCAGCAGTAACGGGCAGGGCGGGTACAGCCAGCCGGGGCGCCACTCGGTGTCCGTGGAGGTCCAGATGCAGAGGCAGAGACAGGAGGAGAGAGACTCGTTCGCCCAGGCGCAGAGACAGTACAGCTCCCTGCCACGGTAAGAAAGACGGACTCGGAGTGAGACAGGCTTCATGTGTTTTGTTAGAAAGATATCACTCGTCACCGGCTTGAGCTTCAATCGGGTCTTGTCGGTAATCATACATCCTGTCATGTACAAAATACTGAGTTGTTTCTCGAAATGTTGGCTTTTTTCTGAAATCTCAAAATTCTGACTTTCTCTCAAAATTCTGACTTGTTCTAAAAAATCTAAAAATTCTGACTTTTTCTAAAAAATCTAAAAATTCTGACTTGTTCTAAAAAATCTCAAATTTCTGACTTTTTCTCAAAATCTCAAAATTATGACTTTCTCTCAAAATTATGACTCGTTCTAAAAAATCAAAAAATTATGACTTG